TTCATGAGAGGCAGAGGGTATAGATTGCTTTCACTGATTGTATTCAGGGCCCTATAATCCACGCATAAGCGTAAAGAGCCGTCCTTCTTTTCCCTAAAGAGGACCGGGGCAGCCACTTTAGGCTTGGCTGGCTCAATGAACCCCCTTTCTAGGTTTTTCTTTATGAATCTTTCCATTTCCTCCTTCTCCTTTGGGCTCAGGGAGTATAATCTGGGCTTCGGGAGTTTTGCCCCAGGTTTGAATTCAATGGCACAGTCTGTGGGTCAGTGGGGGGGGAGCTCATCCGCCCTCTCCTCACTGAAAACTTCAGCAAGGTCTCTGTATTCCTCTGGTATTTCTGGTAGTCCCTTTTCCTCTCCCATGGATGCTTTTTCTGTTCTTGATTCTGGTAGCCCCCCTTGGGATTTTAACTCCATAGGGTCCCCTTTCAGGAATTTGATTTCTGCCATCCTCCAATTCACCCAAGGGTTCCATTTTTGTAACCATTCCATCCCTAAGATCATTGGGCATTCCATGCCTGGGGTCACCACAAACGTTATGTCCTCCTCATGTTTGCCCAGGGAGAGGTGTATTGGTAAAGTGGCTAGGGTAGCTGGCATCCCCCCTGCTATGGACCCATCTAACTGGCCAAATGAGATTGGTTGTTCCAGTCTCCTCGACAGAATGCCCAGATTCCCCACTAGCATTGGGCTAATGAGGCAGCGGGTGCAGCCAGAGTCTATTAATGCTCTCACCCTCATGGCTTCGGCCATGGGGAGATGAATATAGTCACTGTCTTGAGGATGGGTGCGATGCGTCCACTTACCAGGGGTTCGCCCTCCGAGCTGTCAGCTGAGGCGTCCACTGGCCCTGTGGTGTAGGCTGGGGTTCTTTCCCCCTGCTGAGCAGAGGTGGGGGATTCCTCAGCTTCCATCATTCTCATGGCAGGTTCTTTTGGCTTAGCTGGAGGCTTTCCGGAGTTACTGGCCGGTGATCTGTTTGGGTTGTGTTGGGTGGCTCTTGAGCGGCATTCTACAGCTCGGTGCCCTTCTTTCCCGCACTTGAAACACCCCGGTTGCTTCTTGGCCGTGGCCAATGGTTTCACTGGTTCGCGTGTCAGCTC